TCCCAGCTGGTGTGGAGCAGCATGGTTCATCTATGGTGCTGATTTACACGGAGCATCTGCTGCAAGGGGAAGGGAGGAAGACACTAAAGCACTGTAAATTCAGGTGGCAGAGCAGCCCTGGCAGCCCCGGCTCCACAGCAGCCAGGGTTAGCCATCCCTGGTAGCATTCAGAGTCCCAGGGGAGGACATCTCAGAGAGAGAGAGAAGGAAGGAGAAGGGGTATTTTCTGGTCCCCAGCACCAGATATGAGGGGGCTGGAAGGGCTGCCATTCCAGGGTGCATCCTGACCCTCATGGACTGCACACAGTGAAAGAACTGCCCAGTGTGGGGGGATGCTCTGAGGCATGAGGGTAGCTGGGGTCCCGAGACCCAGAGGACTGTGACAGCCCCTATCTCTAGGCCATAAGGACTATCTGCAAGCTGCCAGCCTGGCATCAGGGACCACCAGCCTGAAGGAAGCACCCAGAGCTTCAACTGCAAACGGTTAAGATGAGCAGCCTCCATCCTCCACCTCCCTGCTATGTAACAAGCCCACTTTCTCGCAGGCATGGCTGAGCATCACACAGATCAGAGCAGACGTGTCTTTGCTGAAAGCCAGCAAGAAAAGGGAAGACATAATTAAACTGTTGACTCTGGCTACAGACATTGCATAATGAAATTAGCCCCCTGGTCCCAGGCTGTGAACTTCCTGCAGAGTGGGCAGGCGCAGACTGCAGCAGCAGCAGCCCTCTGAGGCTACAGCAGCAGCGCCAGCTCATGTTCAGGGGCATTCACAGACCCTGCTCAAGGCTGGGCATCCTCTGAGCAATCCACAAAATCACTCCCTCAAACTGCACAAACTCACAGGGTTCCCTCAGAGAGAGAGCTCTCTGCACCTGAACAAGAACAGCAAGCTCAAGTGTTCAGGCAAGCATCCTATTTCCTTTAAACATAGCAGGACTTCTGCAGAGATTTCTGAATTGTCCCAGGTTGAACTGGAAGAGGAGGTTCCCATTTCCAAATGAGATCAGCCTGGTGCAGGAGCACTCACATTACAGGCAGCTCCTGAATCCTGCTTCTCAGTATACCCAGCCACGGAAAGAACAAATTTGCAAGGGCTTGTGAGCACAGGAAGTCACTCAGAGAGGATGTTGCAGGGAAAAGATGATGTTAATTCAATAGTGAGGGTGTCTGTGTGTTGCTTGGGGGTGGGAAAGGAAGAGGGAGGGGAGCTGCCCCTGCCAGATCCGGGAACCATGGGAGAATCTGATAGGATTTCTGCTAGAAGGCAAATAACATCAAGCAGCCTCTGGAGATTGTTTTCTCATAAATCTTAACATGCAAGGACTGGCAAATAAACAGCAATTTTAGAGAAACCTCAAAGCATCTTTTTTCCTATTTTTATTTTTGAAACCCGGAAGTGGTGCAGGTCTTGCCTGCTTAGTGTACCATGTGCTGCGAGCAGTGTGGGCAAAGGGAAGACCAAGACTCACGCAGATGCAGGAAAATTGACATGGTTATGAGGCCTGCTTTAAGGTTTAAGCTTAAAAATGGAGTTAGAGTCTGATTCTTCCCTAGTGCAGCCAAAATCTCGTGTGGGATATTCCTCCTCCAGCACGCTTGCCCCAGCCCTCTGCCCCATCCCTTTATTGGCCCAGCAGTGCAGGCGAGAGGCAGCATCTGTGCCCTGAAGGTTGGCTGCAGAGGTACCTTCTATAGGGCTAAACCAATATAACAAATCTTGGAAAGAGCCAGGAACAGAGTGTGTTGTGCACACATATGCACCTGCTTTTTCCCCTTTGGCAAAGCTGCTAGGTGTCTTGATCCTGAATGGAGGGTGTTAACTGAATCCTACTTCGAATGTTCAGTGCAACTCAAGAGGGCCTGTACTTGCAAGGACACAAGGAAGAAGAGGAAGCTTTGCAATGTGAGGATGATGAAGAAAAGAGCTGATACCAGTGGTGCATGAAGTATTGGATGGAGCAGAAGAGCCATGGTGAAGTGTTCAGGATGTTTTGAAGAGCAGCCTCTGCTCTTCAAGCTGAGGAGAAATCTGTGGGGATCCACACTGGAAGGTGACAAGTGTGAGGTGTATTTGCAAGTGGACAAAGCCATCAGCTGAAAAATTGAGTGTTTGCAACTAATTATTTTCAGTAACTGACCAGCTTTACGGGTGGTTGAATAAGATTCGTCAAATAAATTATTCATGATTTCTTTCCACTGATCAGCAAATCAATTAACCGCAAACTTCTATTCAATTATTCATCTAGCTCCAGCAGGATAAATGGGAATATTTATGACACACAGCCAATGGATGTATATTTCCAAACAGGAACCCTTAAAAACCTTAAACCTTGTTCTGAGCTGGCTTAAATGGCCCAGAGCTTTGATTCACAGTTAAATTCTCTGAGCCCGTGTTCTGTATGCTGCCTGTTGTGTAATGTCTCCTGCTGCCCAGCATGCCTGGCTATGATACCTAGTGTGGGTCTGTGGGCATGGGGCATGGGCAGACATGGTCTCAGAAGGTTCAGCAGGGCTCCCAAGTAGGAAACACAGACATGCTTCATGATGAAGAAACTGGCAGATATGGCTGAGTCAAATACAAAATGTGGTGCAGAAGTAACTGGATAAGCAGCCTGTGTTGTGCATGAGGTCAGGTACAATGACGTACAAATCTCTCCAGCTATAAACTCCAAGGATATGAGCCTGTTGGAATGTTGCACTGCTGCAGATTAACCTCTACTGTTATAGTTCACTGTAAAAGCACTCTCACACCAAAATTAAAGAGTGTTGACAATATTAAGCTGCACAGTAAATGCAAGTAAGAGTTATTATACTAACAAATGGTCAAATTAGCATAAGAACTGGCTTTGCCTCACTGGAGTAGCAACCTTAGAGGTTTTGTAAGTGAAACATAATTCAGCATAAGTGTGATAAGTGACCAGGACTGCACAGCGAGATCTCTAAATTGCCCTGCTTTGCATGACTTCACATCCCAACTGTATTGGTGCTCCAGCTCAGAAATTAGGCCTTCCTGCCACACCTGCATGGCCACAGGTCCCTCATAGCAATCTACAGTATTGCTCATTAATATGGTTGGAAATGAGGGTTGTGGCTGGCCTGCGTAGATAAAGCAAGCCCAGATGTAGGAGGGCAGCTGCTGTATATGCCAGACAAAGCTTCTTTTCCTGCAGCAACGTAGGAACAGGCACAGGAATAGCAAGGTACTTCAGGGGAAAAGCATCACTTGCAGTTTTGATTGACCTGGTTAGTGAATTAAGCTCATATTCATATAAACACACTTGCTGCCTTAATCTGCTTTCATACAGCTGCCTGAGAATGCCCTCATCTCACACAGTCCCATCCATAACTGGAGAGGGTTTGTTCTTTTGGAGCAGCTTTGGCTACAGGGGACTGGTTCTGAAGGCACCTCTGCTCTCCTGGGATGTGTGCCCAGTCCATCATGGTGACCTGGTGCAGAGCAGCCTCCAGCCTTTACCTCAAGAAACTGCTGGAGCTGGGTTCGGTAATCTTCCCTTAGTTAGCGTCCCGGTGCAGAGGAAGAGTAGCCATACCCGAGAACTGAGCCAGTCAGCTGTGTCAGGGGTCTACTGCTTGAGAAGCAGTGGGACATTGCTTTCTGCATCTCACAAGGGTCCCCCATTCATGCCAGAAGGGACAGTGCTTTCCTTTGGAAAGAACAAAGGTGCAGCAGTTCCCTCTTTGCAAAGTGCTGTGAACCAGAAGGTAGGAGGGGTGCGAGCAGGGCTGCAGGCTGGGGTCCCTCTGCCCTTCGCTTTTCAGTGCTGCATGCCCTTAGTGATGAAGACAGCTAACCAAGGAGCCACTTCTCTTGGATCACTGATTCTGCACCCCAGAAAACACTCAAATTTAGGCTGGATGCCTAGGACAGGACATACTACATTTCAGCTGCTGCTGTCAAAAGCCAAAGTCTGTGGAGTTAGGAGATTTCTAGTGGCATCAGTTCCCATTCCTGTCCCCCACATGGAAGGTCTACCTATGGCAGGATGTCTTCAGTGCTGTCGGGGTCAGAGCTGCCACAGCAATGCTGCTGCTGAAGCACTGTACCCGTGGCTGGGCAATGCTGGGGGAGTTAGGAAGGCACGAGCAGAAGGGGGACTGAAAAATTGATACTGAGACAGGGCATGTGCCTGGCCTGGGCTCCCCATGGGATGGTGCGGGACCTCTGCTATGGGGTGACATGCTAGGGGGTAGGGGCAGCTACGGGGTACTGGGCAGCCCCTTCCCATTTTCCAGGAGAGCAGCTTGGCTACCCCAGGGGCACAGCCAGGAGAAGGACTGAAGGACAGCGCGCTGGGCTCTGATCACAGCTCCCCAGGATGGTGACAGGGAATTCTGGTCTATGGCATTAAGATCAGCATTTTTCCTTTCAGGGTTGGGGCTGAGGACTCCGGGTCTCTAGGACTCACCGTACCCTCCCTCGATGGGGATGGAGACGGTCGGATGGAGGCAGGTATTCTGGACTCTGATGTCGCTTTTAGGTGGCAGGGATGCGGACAGGAGTCCCGATGTCTGGGACCAATCCCAGCCCCCAGCTGCAAGGGGACGGGATCCCGGAGGACGGGCTGCTCTCGGGTGCTAGGAAGGGGGATGGGGGTCCCCGGCCGCAGGATGGCGGTGAGGGAAACCCCAGCTCTCGGGAACGGGGGTCCCGGGGGACACGGCTCCGCACGGGTCCTGCGGACACAGTGGCGGGCTCGGGAGGGGTCCCAGCCCCCCTCACGGCGCGGGGAGGAAGGCGGTGGGCACGGCCCCCCTTCCCCTCCGCCCCGCACCGCGCCGCCCCGCCGCCCGCCCCCAGTGCGCCTCCCGCGGACGGCGGAGCGCGGCGCGGGGCCGCGGGACCGGCTGCGGGGCGGCGAGCGGCGGCGGGCGGCGGGGAGGGGGTGGCGGGCAGCGCGGCGGGGGTGGTGGGCGCTGCAGGGCTGAGCGGCGGGGGGGCGGGGGGGGCCCCGCGGCCCCCCCGGGGGGGGCCCCCCCCCCCCGCCCGCCCGCCCGGCGCCGCACCCGGCACACGGATTTACGGCGCGGACTGCAGCCTCCGGAGCGGCTCCCGCAGGTAAGGCACGGCCGGCAGCACCGGGGGTGCCCGCCGATACCCAGCCCCTGGCGTGGCTCCGAGCAGCCCCCCGTTGCCTTAGCGCCTCACCGGGCTCCGGACGCGGCACAAGTTTCCCCTGTTGCGGTCCCACCGGGCACCGTTTCCTTCCTCCCTTCCCCCCACCGCCACTCCGCCATCGGGTGCTGCAGGGATGGGGCTGCCCCGGGCTGCTCCCCGCCGCCGGCCGTTCTCCCTCCCCTCCGCTCCTCGCTGTGCCCTGTTCTCCTCCACCCACCCCGGGCGGGGCAACGGCAGGGGCCGGGGTCCCCCTCGGGCAGCGCCGCGCAGGGTGCCGGGGGGCTGCGGCCAACGCGCTCCCCAGAAGGAGGGTCGTCGGCCGGGTCGCGGGGGGAAGCAGAGCCGGCTGCTTGGGATGATGCGGGGGAAACCTCTCTTGCTTTCGGACCAAACTTGGCTACGGGAAACCTGCGCTTAGCCCGGGAGCCCCTGGCCGGGACCTGTGGGACGGGGTGTCCCCGAAAGGCATACCCGAGCCTCCCGACCCTCGGAATGCCGGTGTCGTCCCGGTCGCAGGGATGCTCTCCAGCTAGGCCTCAGCCGGAGGATGCGAGAACAGTCCTTGGTCTCTTTCCTCTGGGAATGCGAACTCTCTCCAGCCCTCCTCGCAGTAGGGCTGAATGCCGGGATGCTCTCTCTGCGGGCAGGGGATGCTCCCGGTCTCCGAGTTGGAAACCCTCTCTCTGCAGCCGACCTCAGATAGCGGGCGCCGGAGAGGAGGCACAGCCCGGGGGTCACTGCACTCCCCGGGGCACTGTGAGGGGCTCGACTCTACCCTGGGGACACTGACCATATTCTGAGAGGGACCTTTCCCCCTCCTATGCCCTAGCAAAGGTGCTGCTTGCCCAAAGACTAGATGTACACAGGAATACTGCTGGGGGTCCTGCCCTGCCTCGCTGGAGCTCTCAGGTGGCTTTTACTTGGGATGGGGGTGGGCTTTCCTGCACCTGGAAGATCCCAGTTTTGCAGCCTTTTCCACTGTTTTCTTACATGGTGGCAGTGCACCATCGTTGGGCAGCCAGGCTGCGCAGCTGAGCTGTGACTTCCCATGGTGTGGGGTATTGATCCGTGTGTGTGTGGGAATCGTGCTCAGCCCGGCACATCACCTGGGAAGCCTGATCTGATGATCCCGAGCTGGAGCAGGGTCAGATCCCAAGTCCTCACTCCAGACATGCCACTGTCAGACTTATTGTTGGGCAGTGAGACAGCTGACATAAGGCTTTAGGTGCACCATGGTGGTTATGTCAGGAATCTGGATGCCTCTTTAGTTGTGAGCTGCCTTCTCCTGGACCTAGTGTAATGCCCAGCCCCGGTACCATCCCCTCCCCATCTCCTGAGCTTGTTGGTCCAACATGTCCAGGGTAGCTCCTTAATCTGCCAGTGCTGACACTGTGTTGGGCTGCATTCAGGCTGCAGGATGTCCACCCCTGGCTGCACACCTCAGGTGGAACTTGTCTTCTCCCCTGGGTGCCTGTTGGGTGCAAAGGGTGCCCTGGGTTCATCTGCAGAAGTGGATGTGAGTGGGAGACTGGTGACTGCATGTAAAATAGTCTGCCAGAAATCCCCTTCCTCTGAGCATCACCAACATAAGATGAAATAAGCACAGATCCTGCAATTTTAGGGTTCTCTACAGGTTTTACTGCAACCAACAGTAGACCTGGCTGTATATTTTTTTTTCTTTTTTATTATTTCCCAACACAAAGCTTTTCCTGTCAGAATTAAAGCAGAGGTTTGTCTGCCTGCTTAAGTCAATTACAGAAAACCATCTCCAGCTGACACACTAGCAACACGAGAATCTCCAGCCCTGTCCCATTTACCTCTGTGTCTTCAGTGGCTGCCTGAGCGTAACTGTTCTTAAACTCTCCTGCACCTGGCAGGGTTTCTGCCAGAGAGGTATCCCCCTGCTCCCTTTATAAAACAGCAAGGGGAATAAACAGAGAGCACTGTGAAAGTGCTGGAGGAGGGTTTCCGAGCGGTGAGCTGAGGAAGCAAGCATGGCTTGGCACAGCGTTGCAGTTGGAGCTCTCGTCTGGAGCTGAGTCCCTCATGCTGCGTTCCCAAGTCCCCATCTGGCTCTGGGCACACTGTTTTGTGCTGCAGGTGCTCTGAGCAGCTCTTCAAACACTGGGGGATCTGGGCCCTAGCTCCTCTGCTGCCTTGCTGTGAAAAGGTGGGGATAGCCCCTAGGAGTGTTGTGTATGCGTACCAACTTGGGAGACAGCCCTGCTTATTCAGTTATTTAGCACCTACATCCAGACAGAGAGTGTTTTCCTGTGCCTGTTTTTCTGCTTTAACAAACTGATAGGTTGCTGCAGGCTCCGGGTCGTTTCTCGGTCCCGTCCCCCCATCCCCACCTGCGCACAGGAGTACAGAGCAAGGCTGTGCTGGCCCTAAGAGCCACAGCAGGGCTCTGCTGAATCACAGCTACCTGAATGCTCCCTCTGCCTTCTCAGGTTCCTTCTGGTGCTCTGACAAGTAGCTCCATGTGTAAACGGGGATTTATTCAAGACTCCTGGGAGGAGCAGCTGGCAACGGAATAGCTCTGTGGCAGAAAACGTGTGTGTGCATGTGTGTGTGTGTGAACTCCAGTCTAAACGGAAGAGGGAAAACATCCAGAGTTACAGAACTAATGCAAATGGAGTTGGCTTTCATCTCTCCCTGCAGCATCCTTTGTGGAAGGCATTTGCATTTCCCCAAAGTCAGTGCCTCCCTACCTGTCCCTTAAGCAAATCCATTGCTGTGGAGCAGTTTTACAATGTGATGTGTGGTTCTCCAGATCTGGAAAGAGATTAACTCAAAATATTTGAGAAGCAAAGCTCTTATTTTAAGGTAGCAACTCTGGACATGGCGTAGGATTGGCTACGGACTGCGGTGTGCCTCACTATTGATTGCAGGGCTGGGGACCTTTCCTGAGGAAGGGGATCAGAGTGGCTCACGCATGCCTCTGACCTGAGCACAACTCCGGGATGCCACCAGGAGCATCCATTTGCACAAGCATCAGAGTGGTCCAGCATCACGGGAGACCCCTATGGCTCCCGTCTAACAACCACCTGCCCTGGGGTCCCCGAGTGTGCTCTTCCCTCCAGCTCCAGTGGTGTGGGGGGCTGCTGGGGCTGGTGTCTGCAAACAGTGCCAGGGTGGACTGCTGCCATTTTGGAGGGAGCCTCCAGCTCGGCAGAGATACAAACAAATCAGGATTTCATGGGCAATCTAGCAATAGCTATTAGCTATGCTAAAAGGATTAACAGCTCTGCAGGACTCATCAAGTGTTTAAAACATAACTCAAGCTTCAAAGGCAGCTCTTATAGGCTCACATTTTCACTTCAAGTAACTCTGAGAACTCCTATTCAACTTAATTAAAACATCCACTAGGCTCCTTAAAAACAAAAACCCGAAGGCTTTTTTTTCCTTAAGCACCAAGCCGTTTTGAAGACAGCAGCTCACAGAGAAGCATGCAGATGTCTTTGTTAAAGAATCACCTTTGTGGAAGTCTCCTATCCCCAGACCACTGTGTCTGATTAATCTTAAGCTTTCCAATGACGATATAAATAGCGGGGTTTGTGTGTTGTTTTGGTTTTGTTTTGTTTTGTTTTTTCCTTCCCTGGCTAGGGACCACAGAAGAAAGATGAAAAAGTGCGAAATGCTTTGTAGAGAAAGTTAGACAAGAGGGTGGGGGAGTGTCAAAACCAAACCTATAATAGGAAACAAGCCACTGAAATGCTGGTGGAAGTACCTTTCATCTTGAAGGCTCCAAAGTGCTATGCAGTGCATGAATGCACACAAGAACTGGAAAATAATTGACAACAACTACTGTCATAAGATGAAGTCACCAGCTTTGCTGGCAGTGGAGTCACCTCGGGCAGGTCATCAGCTCACTTGCCATTGGCCCCTGACTGCTTGCTCTTGGATTTGTCACTGGTGTTACGAGCTGGCTCAGCCAAGCTGTTCTGCAAGACCACAGGCCAAAGTTTCAGATGCTGCACTTGTGTGACACTTCTGTGAGGATGTCTGGTCCTGAGCTAGCCCGGCATGGCTGAGGTGTGACAGTGATAATCAGCCCTTTCCCAAGCTCTCCCCCTTGTCTGCTTGGTCCTCGGCAGCATGGCCATCATCTTCCACAGGGTCATGATTTAATTCTTCTCCCCTGTGACATACCCAGTCTTGGTGATGCTGGGTCATCCCCAGGCATATATCCTCCCTGACCACTCACACCCCTCTGTCTGCCTTACAGGCCTTAGTTATTTCAAGTGCCCTGGGGAGACTTGAAATAGGTAGAAAAGCTCCCTCTGTATGAGGTATAACTTGAGTGGTGTCACTGGAGCTGAGTGCATTAAACTCAATATTTAAATTTAGTAAATGCTTTTTTTGATATCAGAGAGGCCTTGAACATTTAGGACTTCATTCCATTATGTTAATTTTGTTTGATTTGATCAATAATGAATTAACATCTTCCAGAAAAGGATTAAACAGCTGCTGCCTTTCCTCTTGTGTACAGGTGAGTTTGATTTCTTCCTCCTCAAGCTGTCCTGTGTGGCCAGAGGGTGCCTGGAAGGGCAGTGCTGAGAAGTCCCATCAGGAGCAGAGGTGTTCCCATTGCATCTTGTGAGATTTGCAGCACACCTCACCTCTTTCCTTCCCACTTGGCCATTTTCTTCAGGCAGATTGTAGGACTTGAGCATATAGCCTCCTGCCCCTGGATATCCTCTGAGCTGCCCCTGGGGACGTGCCATGCAGTGGTACTGAGGACAGCAATCTGTGGTCATGTAGGGCTGGTGGCTTGGGAAGGTGTGTAGCACAGACTTCATACCCATGCGCTCAGTGCATGGTTGGGATGTGATATGTAGGAATTAGGTGGTAGGCAGGTTTTTTACATCAAGTGTTTATAGCACTTTCTTCACTTTGTGTCTAGACATAGCTATAAATGAGGGAGAGGGCTATTA